GATTAAGCTTTGGATCTGATGGACTATTTTCTTAACTGATTAACTGATCACTACATTAAGATTTATTGTGGGTCCAACTTCACATTAGAGCAGTGGTGAAATCCATTTTTTTTTAATACCGATTCTGTGGGTGTGGCTTGGTGGGTGTGGCAGGGGAAAGATAAATGCAAAATCTCCATTCCCACCCCACTCTGCAGCCAGCCAGAGGTGCTATTTGCCGGTTCTCCAAACTACTCAAAATTTCTGCTACTGATTCTATGAACTACTCAAATTTTCCACTACCGGTTCTCCAGAACCTGTCAGAACCTGCTGGATTTCACCCCTGCATTAGACCTAAACCCACATCTAAACAAACACCTTACTGGCTTTACGTGTTACTTCGTGTAACCCGAGAAACTTACTAAATCCTACTTACGTACAGAGGAGGGAAGACGGCCTTAACAGAAAATGCAAGAACTGTTACCTAAACAGGTGGTTGAAATGTTTTCTTTTTCAATTCAGAGCGATGAAATATAATTCAGAAGTAAGTCAGTTCATTGGTTCACTGGAGTATAAGAAGGAGGAGGAGGAACAGCACAAATTAGAAAGATTCTGTTATTATGCCTAATATCAATATTGGGTATATCAACATCAATATTAGGTATATCAATATCAATCACCACACTATAAAAAAGATGTTGAGACTCTACAAAGAGTGCAGAGAAGAGCAACCAAGATGATGAGGGGACTGGAGGCTAAAACATACAATGAATGGTTGCAGGAACTGGGCATGGCTGGTCTAGTGAAGAGAAGGACCAGGGGAGACAGAATAGCAGTGGTCCAATATTTGAGGGGCTGCCACAGAGAGGAGGGGGTCAAGCTATTCTCCAAAGCACCCGAAGGCCAGACAAGGAATAATGGATGGAAACTGAACAAGGAGAGATTCAACCTAGAAATAAGGAGGAATTTTCTGACAGTGAGAACAATCAACCCATGGAACAGATGTTGCCTTCGGAAGTTGTGGGAGCTTCATCACCAGAGGCTTTCAAGGGGAGATTGCACTGCCATTTGTCAGGGATGATGTATTTATTTATTTATTTATTTATTTATTTATTTATTTATTTAATTTGTATACCGCCCTTCTCCCAGAAGGGACTCAGGGCGGTGAACAGCCAAAATTAAAAAACATACAAATGCAAAAGTTAAGATAATTAAAAGAATTAAATCATTGGCTACCCAAATTTAAAACCCTAAATCCATAAAATTTAAAATCCCAATTAAAAACCATTTAGGCTAGGCCGGCTTGATGAAATAAAAACGTCTTCAGGGCTTTACGGAAGGTCCGGAGGTCCGGGATCAATCGTATTCCAGGAGGCAGCTCATTCCACAGGGCGGGTGCCCCCACAGAGAAGGCTCGCCCCCTGGGGGCCGCCAGCCGACATTGCCTGACCGACGGCACCCCGAGGAGGCCCTCTCTGTGAGAGCGTATTGGCCGGTGGGAGGTTATTAGTAGCAGCAGGCGGTCTCGCAAATACCCTGGCCCTAAGCCATGGAGCGCTTTAAAGATGAGAACCAACACCTTAAAGCGCACCCGGAAGACCACCGGGAGCCAATGCAGCTCGCGCAGGAGACGTGTTACGTGGGAGCGCCACGTCGCTCCCATAATCACCCGCGCGGCCGCATTCTGCACCAGCTGGAGCCTCCGGGTGCTCCTCAGGGGGAGCCCCATGTAGAGAGCGTTACAGTAGTCCAGGCGTGACGTAACCAAGGCATGAGTGACTGTGCACAAGGAGTCCCGATCCAGAAAGGGGTGCAACTGGCGTATCAGGCGAACCTGATAAAAAGCCCCCCTGGCCACGGCCGTCATATGCTCTTCTAAAGACAGCCGTGTGTCCAGGAGGACGCCCAAGTTGCGAGCCCCCTCTGTGGGGGTCAGTGACTCGCCCCCAATAGCCAGCGATGGCACCAGCTGGCTATACCGGGACGCCGGCATCCACAGCCACTCGGTCTTGGAAGGGTTGAGCCGAAGCCTGTTCCTCCCCATCCAGACCCGCACGGCCTCCAGACACTGGGACATCACTTCGAGGGCATCATTGGGGTGGTCTGGGGTGGAAATGTACAGCTGAGTATCATCAGCGTACAGATGGCATCGCACCCCAAAACCACGGATGATCTCACCCAGCGGCTTCACATAAATGTTGAACAGGAGCGGTGAGAGGACCGACCCTTGCGGCACCCCGCAAGCAAGGCGCCTCAAGGTCGACCTCTGCCCCCCTGCCAACACAGACTGCGACCGGTCAGAGAGATAGGAGGAGAACCACCGCAACACGGTGCCTCCCACCCCCAGTCCCTCCAGCCGGCGCAGCTGTAGGGTCTCTTGCTTGTTGGATGTAGGGTCTCTTGCTTGTTGGACTAGATGACCTACAAGGTCCCTTCCAACTCTGTTAATCTGTATAATAAAAAAAAATTATGAGCTTCCTGTGGATTTCAGCCTCTGGTTTGGTTCTACTTAGGGGACAACAATATAAACAACAACATAGATTCAGTTGGTTATGTGAATGCAGTCATTAAAAGACATATGAGATAATTGATAGAAATTTGCATTGCTTTGGATTTTGTTCCAAATTACTGTTTCAGAGTATAAAGGAACAAGAATGCAGCACCTGCCGGTGACTCATTAAAGCAGCTGCATCTGTTTTCAGAACTTCACCATGCCGGGAAACAGATGCAGCCGCTTTAATGAGTTGTAACAGATGCTCCATTCGTACTCCCACACACTCTGAAACCATTTTTTGTTTCCAGACTGGAATCCAAAGCACCGCACAGCTTGAGAAATTTTTATTGATTCTGACTAGTGCCACGACGATGCTAATTTAGCATTTGTGTGTATGTTTTGATCATCTTCCAAACTGCTTACTACACTCTCAGATTTGACTTCACAACCGTTCTGTAAAGTTAATCAATAGTATTGTCCCCGTGTGGTTCCTTGTATCAAAGAAACAAGGGGTGTCACAGAAATAAGATCTGAAGTGGTCACTTCCTGATTTATTGTTCTGTTCTTTGGCCGTTCTGATTTATTTTTTTTAAAAAATCCAATAAATAAACCTTTTTTGTTTGTTTGATTAAAGTGGCTCAGCCATGAGAAATTTTTTCTTTTTTTTAAAAAAAAACCTACTTCGATCTGTAATGTACTTATTCTTAAAAGTAGACAATGAACACCCTGGGAGGACGTGAGCCTTTGTGCCTGCATTGTAGAATTTAGTTTTGCTTGGCGAGTGCGTTTGTGTGTATACGTGTGGGTCTCAATACAGGCAAGCACGATACTGATATAATGAAAGAGAAACAGCTCCCTTTCGGGCGAATCATTTGATGTGTTCTTGTAAATACACGGGAATAAATCCCGTCATGGAGACAAGTCCCTTTAATGGCAGAAAAATTCAATATCATTCAACGCTGGAGCGAGGGTACCTCTGCTTTTGAAGTCGTCATATATTCGCCGGATTTTTATTTTAATTTTTTTGCAGTCCAGTGAGCGCTCCGTATTTTGCAAGCTGTGAAGCAAAACTGCAAAATAAAACGTGGCTCTCTTTTTCTTTCTTTCTTTCTTTCTCTCTTTCGATTGCGACTTCCGTCACAATATCGTGGAACTAGCCATAAAGCTAGGTGGATCCTTAAGCACTTTTGATGGTCAAAGCATTCTGGAAGGGATGTACACAAATGGTTAAACAGTACACCTAATTCACATTGCTTGTATTTAAAATAATTAGAATGATGGAAGTTTTTATCCATTAGGAATAAAAGCAATGATCCCCAACTGTTAAGAAACTACATCGGTTCACGATTCGATTCGATTCTACTCTACTCTACTCTACTCTACTCTACTCTACTCTACTCTACTCATCCCAATCCCAGTCCCAATCCCAATTCCATCCCATCCCATCCCATCCCTTCCCATCCCTTCCCATCCCATCCCATCCCATATTTTCTATTCTATTCTATTCTATTCTATTCTATTCTATTCTATTCTATTCTATTCTATTCTACTCTACTCTACTCTACTCTACTCTACTCTACTCATCCCAATCCCAGTCCCAGTCCCAATCCCAATCCCTGATTTTAACCAGGAAGTAACCTGTACATGCGCAGAGGGTCCAAAATCTCACGTGATGGCGTGCGCACTTCCGAACTGGTAGATTTCACCCCTGCCACAGACCCATTGTCCTTCCTATCCTGATTTATTTAAAAATACTCTCTCTTTTTTTGGTCATATTTTTTAATGATTTAGGAAGCTGGCTGCTGGCAAGCTAAAATGTAAGCTCCGCCGTTGTATTTATTTGCAGGAATGCCACAAGAGCCAATTAGAGTAACACAAGGCATTGGAAGGGACTTGTTAGCTTTTACCGAGTAGACAAGTTTCCATTGCTAGATTTTTAAATTTAATTTAATTTTTATTTTTTTGTAACTGAGCTCTTTGCACCTATGTGACACCCAAGTGTCGAATTTCTCCTTGGCAAGCTGGACCGAAACTCATTAAATAGTCCCACAAGAATCCAGGAATAGTCAGGAATCAAAACGGCTTTTGATCAGAAAATGTATTGTAGAAAAGTTTGAGACTCCCTTACGGAAGATTTCCGGCAATCGCCGAATATTCAGTGCAAGTTCAGTTTATAACTATCAATCTTCTGGTTTCTTTTCTTTTCTTTCTTTTTTTTTTTCACTTTTCACTCTCCACAAAGGCCCAGGAACAATTCTATTTTGGGCAGAAGGTAGAGTTTCCGTTTGTTCCTTTGTATAGCCCTGGACTGATTCTAACTTTTGATTGCATGAGAACTCGTGTTCAAAGAGACGGAAAAGCTTGCCTTTACTTGCAGCAAGCAGATGCAACTAGCTGTTGATTGGGACTCTGCTTGCTCCAGGACTCAAGAATGCATGGTTAACCTCAGAACCTGGTTCGAGCCCAATTATTTATTTATAATCTCATGACTCATGGGTGTCATTGTGTGCTTTTTCCCCTTCATCAGTTTCTGCGAAACGGACCGGAAGTCGCCAAGGACATTGCCAACGCAGCTGGAGAACGTCAATGACCAGTGGGGGGGATCTGAAACGCACCCCATGCCAATCAATATGTCGTCAGACAAGGACCAGGTAAGTGGCAGGCCACAAGGTGACTCTCTGGTTACGATGCCCAGGTGGGATGGTACAATGTCCCAGTTTTCTGGGAAATCAAGCTGGCAAGTAAATTGTCCCTTCTCAGTAAAAACGTCAGTGTGCCCCTCCCCATGGAATTATCAATGGCACAGTTGGCATTTGATGGATAATACGGCCAAACAGTCCAGAAGCTAAATAAACAGATCAAGTCCCCTGACCGTTTCCAGCTGCGTCACGAGTCTTTCAAGAAGAGATTGGACCTCCTAATTGTTTCTTTGAAAAGCTTAATTTCCTAGCATTCCTTGGGACTGCTCAGATCCTTCTCCCTGAATTCACCTGCTATTAAACCCTTTTTCGCCTCACCCATGGACTTTATTCTCATTATTCTCATACCAACCCAATCATAAGAATACATCCTGGTTCCCAATTCTCGTTTCTTCCACTTTCTACACGCCCAAATCTATTGGCCGAAGAACAAACTTCCCACATGGAAGAGATTAGAACATTTCTTGAAGAAGAAGAAAAAAAAAGTGATAAAAACTGCAAAAAAAAAAAAAATCAGAAAAGCTTTTAATTGCTTCACCTTGTAGTTATTTCCTTTTAAGACTGTATGAATGACCTTAAAGGTTAAAACTCTTGCTGTTCTCAAAAACAAAGGGAGGCAAACAAACAAACCACTTATGATTTTCATAATGAGCTTTAGAACTAGAGAGCAATTTGAAACTTGCGCATTCTGTAGACCCGATATCAGGAAATAAAAAACAACAACAGGCTAAATCTCGTTCCTTCTGTATGGTCTTTTTTTTTTCCCCAAGTTTTTTATTTTATTTTATATATGTATGTATGTATCAATGCATGAACAGTGTGGCACTTGGGTGGCATACATTCTAATACAAATAAAACTAGTAATTAATCATAGTTATTACATTCAACCAACTTATATATTTCTAATAATAATACACATTTATATCAAGTTGCAATTTGCCATTATTCAATGGTTCCATGTTTTCTCTTGTTACTGCTTTTATTTTATTATATAAAAATATATACACTAATATTCCCCCTTCCGCTTATTTCTATCTCTTATTCTAGCTGTCATTTTTTAATAAAAGCGTATTCTTTCTATCCTACCCAACGTCTAGTCATGTCATCTACCTAAAAAAGAAGAGAAAGAGAGAGAAAAAGAAAAGCAAATCAGAACGTCGACAAAAAGGATAAATCATCTATCCATCGTCTCTTGCCCGCTTCAATACTTTAATGGCTATGCTTTTTTTTTGACTTGCCTCCCATATTCCTCTCTTAGATCTTTATCTCTGTCTGCATCTACTGCTTGGCTTTCCAATCTAGATATTTCTCCCACCTCTATCCTCTTCCACTGCCTAGTTTCCACAGTTTCTACTCAGACCCCTATCTCCCTTTCAAAAGTAGCTTCCAGTATACTTTTGAGAAGGGGAGAAGACATTCAACCACTCACTACTCCTATCCCCATGATGACATGCGTGCTACAGGTGGCACGCAGAGCCATATCTGTAGGCACGTGAGCGTTGCCCTAGCTTAGCTCCAGCACGCATGTGCGTGCTGGCCAGCTGATTTATGGGCCTTCTGGGCCCACCGGAAGTCGGGAAATGGGCCATTTCCCACCTCTGGAGGGCCTCTGTGCGGGTGGGGAAGGCCATTTTCACCCTCCCCAGGCTCCTAGAAAGCCTCTGGGGACTGGGGAAGGTGAAAAATGGGCCTTCTGGGCCCACCGGAAGTTCCAGCCTGTGAAGGGCCGCCGGGGAGGGTGGGGAAGGCCATTTTTGCCCTCCCCAGGCTCCTAGAAAGCCTCTGGAGCCTGGGGAGAGCGAAAAACAGGCCTACCTGGCCCACCATGCCATCGCGTGTCAATATCGGGGGGAGCTTGGGGGGTCATGCACGCATGAGCGGGGTGTGGGGGGCATTGAAATGTGGGTGTTGGGCACATGCATGTAACCCCCCACGCTCCCCACGCTTTTGGCACGCGACGGCAAAAAGGTTAGCCATCACTGTCCTATCTGTATTAGTAACACTGTGCCAAAGTTTGCTTCTCCAGCCAATTTCTCAAAAGGACTCTTTCCCTTTGACTTCCGGTTTCCCAGCTTATTCACGAACACGAGAACTTCTCCCGATAGTGAGTTAGCTGACCAGTTTGCATCTAAGGAGGTTTTACTTTCCAAATCTTTCTTTTACGTCTTCCCATTTCTTAATCTAAAAAAAAAAAAAAAACAAGCATCACAGAAGGATGAAGTTTTCTTTCGGGGCAAAATGGAAATGTCAACTGATTTTTATAAATGCGGAGGGAGAGAGGGTGGAATGTTCTGCATTACAGAAATCATAGAATGTAAGGGAACTTGGAGATCATCTAAACTTACCCGCTCTTGTACAGTACAAGGATCTACTAATAAAACTTTCCTGATCAAAGATCTTCCAGGGCTCCATAGAAGAGAATCTGTCATCTCCCAAGAGATGCAAAACAATTCTGACCCTTAGGGATATTTTCCTACACCCAACTAAAATCAGCTCCTTGTTTAAACCTGCTGTTTCTTTTTCTTGTTTCCTGAAAAATTCTACCCCATTTCTTCCATGATATTTGAAGGCAGTTCTCTTGTCTCTGCAGCCTTCTCTCCTCCAGGTTAAAATACCTAATCCTCCAATTTATATGTTTTTTTCTTCAATTTACTTCGTCTTCTTTCGGCATACTCTACTTTATCAATGACCTTTTTAAAACCGTGGAGCTAAAAAGTGAACCTTGCAGTATGATCAAGGCAGAATAGACAGAACGGGTTCTGCATTCAATAAATGCATATGTTCCCCCCCCTTTTTTTTTTTTCTTTTTTCTTTTGCTTTAATTTATATGCCGCCCTTCTCTGGAGACTCAGGGCGGCTTACAATGTGTTAAGCAATAGCCTTCATTCTTTTGTATATTTTATACAAAGTCAGCTTATTCCCCCCACAAACTGGGTCCTCATTTAACCTACCTTAGAAAGGATGGAAGGCTGAGTCAACCTTGAGCCTGGTGAGATTTGAACTTGCAGTAATTGCAAGCAGCAGATGTTAATAACAGTGTGCTTTAGTCCACTGTACTACAGGCTCTTGGATGTTAGTACATGGATTACTTTTTAAAGTATCATCAACTGTTCTTTGCTTTTAATATGCAGTTTCCTGTACAGCTCCTATAACTATCCTCCAGTTCTCGCTCATTAGTACAGTTCCTATTATTACTCTCATTTCTCGTTCATTAGTTTCTGCAAATCTGCTCATTTTCCTTGGCTCATGTTTTCCAATCTGCATCACTTTTTGGAAATGTCCTCCCATAGAAGCCCATAGCTATATGTTTGGGTCACCTGTGCAAGATTTGATCAGCCACCTGGGAAAGCCAGGGGAAATCATCAAAGCCATTAAAAAGCGAAAGTTAGAATATTTTGGACGTGTGAGGCGACACCCAGAAAAATACGGCATCCTTCACTTAATCCTGTCCAAGGAAAGATTGAAGGCCAACGAGGTCCAGGCAGAAGAAGAATATCATGGCTTTCAAAATCTAAGGGACCGGTTTGGACAAAACTCAGCAGCACTTTTTCATGCGGCTGTTGACAAAAATAGGATGGCCAACATGTTTGTCAGCGTCCAACGACAGATATGGCACAAGAAGAAGAAGTGCATGATTTCTTTAATGCATCTTAATTCTGCTTCTTGGTTTTTCTTTTTCTTTTTTTAAAGAACAAGACTTATCTTGATGTTTTAGTCAATTCCCATTTTGGCTGTGCTACCTGTGCCATGTTTTCAATTCAAGACTATAGGGAGCACATGGAAGGCGGAACAGCGTGTTCAAAAATATATTTTTTTCCACGGAGAGAGGAAATTCCTGTAAGAGATCGCTTCTTCCCCATTGCTCCTTAAATACATTTTCTACCTTTTGACCCCAATCTATTTTTATGATGCCTTGGTAAGGCCACACTTGGAATCCTGCATTCAGTTTTGGTCACCACGATGTAAAAAATGTGGAGACTCTAGAAAGAGTGCAGAGAAGAGCAGCAAACATGATTGGGGGACCAGAGGCTAAAACATATGAAGAACAGTTGCAGGAATTGGGTATGTCTAGTTTGATGAAAAGAAGGACTAGGGGAGACATGATAGCAGTCTTCCAATATCGAACACTGAGATGAGCAGCACCCCCTAGAGTCGGGAACGACTAGCACATATGTGCGAGGGGAACCTTTACCTTTATCTTTTATGTTAACTTGGTTAAACAAATATTATGATTATTAACATTAATATTAATATAATTTGTATTAATGTAATGAATATTGTTGTAAACAACATTTTACAAAATGATTTGTACCCGGACAACACACTGTCCAATTGAAATTGGAATTTCTGTATGTTATAAAATAAAATAAAAACTTATTACAAAAAAAAAAAAGAAATGGTATGGTATGTGAGAATAACCTTGGGAGACAGGAGGAAGAGCCGCAGAACAAGCAACAGTCAGATATGATGAGGCTGAACTCACAGAAGGAATGGTAAACATCTTGGAAGGGACCCACCCTAATTTCTTGGACTGTAAAAGCAAAATGGGGTGTTTGTGTGAAATGCACTTTCAGACTTGCAAGATTGTGTTAATGCAAGCTTACAGTAAAAGTGGAGCTATTGTGTTTCTTGCCTTGACCATCTTCCAAGGCTGACCATAACTGAGCAATCCGGGTGCAAACTTGTCTGGGCTGGGAAGTTAAATAGGCTTTATCCTAGTTCGAACTGGAACAGGTTTCTAATATTAGCTAGATAAAAAAGAGTAATTTTCTTATATCCCAGAAGAAAGCAAGAGTCAACTACTTCTGAACAGTTGCAAAGAAAATTACACAGATTAGTTCCTGAAATCCCCAGCTTGACATGAAGGAAATTTTACCTTTATGAGAAAACAATTGGGGATCATGTGCAATTGTGATGCATGCACTCTGCCTCTGATTGACAATCCACCCCCTTGTCAATTCTTTGCTCTCTGCCTTTTTCAGCCATGCTTCCACCCACACTTGCAAAGTCTTAATCTCTCTAACCTTGAGGGTGACAGACATCACAGCCCTCTAGAACAGCTAGCTTGGAAGAGCAAAGAGCTCGAGAAGAAATCCTTCCAGAATCATATTAGGACTGGTTCCCTCTGTGAGAGAGAGTGAGGTGGTTTCTAAATATGATAGCTAGGGAGAGAGAGAGAGAGAGAGGGAGGGAGGGAGGGAGGGAGGGAGGGAGGGAGGGAGGGAGGGAGATAGATAGATAGATAGATAGATAGATAGATAGATAGATAGATAGATAGTTATGACAGGGATGGATGGATGGATAAGACAGATAGATGACATAAATGGATGGAGGAATGGATGGATGGATGGATGGATGGATATGACAGATAAATGACATACATAGATGGATGGATGGATAGTAGATAGATAGATAGATAGATAGATAGATAGATAGATAGATAGGACAGATAGATGACATAAATGGATGGATAGATAGATAGATAGATAGATAGATAGATAGATAGATAGATAGATATGACAGGGATGGATGGATGGATAGGACAGATAGATGACAGACATGGATAGATAGATAGATAGATAGATAGATAGATAGATAGATAGATAGATAGATAGATAGATAGATATGACAGGGATGGATGGATGATAGACAGATAGATGACAGACATGGATAGATAGATAGATAGATAGATAGATAGATAGATAGATAGATAGGACAGATAGATGACATAAATGGATGGATGGATGGATGGATGGATGGATGGATAGATAGATATGATAAATGGATGACACATGGATGGATAGATAGATAGATAGATAGATAGATAGATAGATAGATAGATAGATAGATGACACATAGATGGATGGATAGATAGATAGGACAGATAGATGACATAAATGGATGGATGGATGGATGGATGGATGGATGGATGGATGGATGGATAGATAGATAGATAGATAGATAGATAGATAGATAGGACAGATAGATGACATAAATGGATGGATGGATGGATGGATGGATGGATAGATAGATAGATAGATAGATAGATAGATAGATAGATAGATAGATAGACAGATAGATAGACAGACAGATGGATGGATAGATTACTTCACCACAAGTTACCCAACTCCCAACATACAAGCACACACACAAACATATTAATTTGCAGGAATGTTTTGACGTTCCATGAAGATCCATCCAGGATGGTGAGAAACTAGTTGGTCTTTTAATGAAATGAGGGTCTGGTAACTGGTTGGGGCCTCCATTTCATGAGTAGCTCCACCAACCACTTCCCAATTTGCACACATACCCTCAGCCCGAGGGACTTGCCTATTTGCTCTACCTCCCTAACCCTGATATCAGCCTCTTTCTGAATAGCTGGGCTGGACCAAACCATCTCATAGATCACGATTCTCTTTCTACTCTTATTTGCTCAGGTCCCTTCTGGCCAGCAGTCACCGACCAAAAATGTGGTGAACGGAAGCCCTTCCAAGTGCCCGCGTTTTGCCAAAGTGAAGAACTGGGAAACTGGCTCGGTGCTCAACGATACTTTGCATTTGAAGTGCTCCATGGTAAGTGAGATGCAGCATGAGTATTCTTCCACATGTTTGGTGACTGTTTCCAAGGAAACCTCCTCGAAACGAAGCTTTTCTCAAGGGCCGGTTCTACTAGTGGAGTGAAGCAGCCAGTTCAGGCAACTAGGGTTCATTCTCAAAGATTGCGACTAACCTTAGAGAGAAGGAAGGTTGACTGGAGAAGATGGGGGAGGAACTACAGGTAATCCTTGAGTTACAACCAGAGGTGGGGATTCACCTACCTTCCTTACCGGTTCGCAAATGTGAGCACGTGCTACCACGCCTGCTCGGCCTTCCGTGCATGCTCTTTACTCTCGTACTCGCTTCCCGCACATGCACACGGCCTCCAAAACGTGGCTAAATAGATCAGGCATTATGTCCGGGTGAGTGGGCAGAGCTTACTGCAGTCGGCGCTATCGATTCGCCCGAACCGGACAGAACCGGCTGAATCCCGGCACAGTGGCACAGTGGAGCCTGATGGCACAGTGGTTAGACTGCAGTACTGCAGGCAAATTCTGCCTGCAGTCTAGAGTTCCAACCATGACAGGGCTGAAGGTTGTCTCAGCTTTCCATCCTTCCGAGCTCAGTAAAATGAGGACCCAGATTGTTGGGGGCAATAGGCTGACTCTGTAAATGGCTTAGAGAGGGCTGTAAAGCACTGTGAAGTGGTATATAAATCTAAGTGCTATTACTATTCCTTCCTTCTTCCTTCCTTCCTTCTATCCATCCACCCTTCCATCCATCCATTCATCCATCTATCCATCCATGGTGCATAGTGGTTAGAATGCAGTATTGCAAGCTAACTCTGCCCACTGCCAGGAGTTCGATCCTGACTGGCTCAAGGTTGACTCAGCCTTCCATCCTTCCGAGGTCGGTAAAACGAGGACCCAGATTGTTGGGGGCAAGAGGCTGACCCTGTAAACCACTTAGAGAAGGCTGTAAAGCAGTATATAAGTCTGAGTGATATTGCTATTATTGTAGCCCAGAATTTTATGGTCATAGCCACTGTGGTTGTTAAGATGCCCACGAAATCCCTGTTTTCCCCTGTTATGGCTGTTATTTGGAACATGTGGTACATTGGAGGATGAGGGAGGCCCTAGGTTTTTGAAAGAATGGTGATAAATCGAGGACTATCTGTATTACTCTACTGCAGAAGCCGAAATGCCTCAACCTGATCCCAACACTCAAACAATCCTTTAGGACAGAGTTAGAGAATTCTGATGAGCAGAATTGGAACAGAAGGGATTCAGCCCCTGAGAACTGAGTTACTGCTTTTTGAAGTTATTGTAATGTTGTTCAGATGCACCATGAGGCATAACACAAGCTTCAAGGTTGGGCACATTGACAGCAGCAGAAGTTGTTTAAGAATTGGTGGATGGTGGAATCCATCACCCATTAAATTTCCCATAATGACATAAGTAGGTTCAAAAAAAAAGCATGGTGGAACATTGGCCAAAGAGCATCAGAACTGAGATCAGACTTTGTCTGGAGGGCATGAGGAGGAAAAGGTTTCCAAAGCAAGTGTCTACCCTGTCTATCCATTGCAAGAAGCAACGGATGGAAACTAATCAAGGAGAGAAGCAACCTCGAAATAAGGAGAAGCTTCCTGTCAGTGAGAACAATGAATCTTGCCTCCAGAAGTTGTGGATGCTCCAACACTGGAGGTTTTTAAGAAGAGATTGGACAACCATTGTTCTGAAATAGTATAGGGTCTCCTGCATGAACAAGGGTTGGACGAGAAGACCTCCAGTGTTCCTTCTAACTCTGTTATTATGTTCTTTTCTGGAGAGTGCAGTTCCTGTGGTGTAACTGCGACTGGGAATAAATGCCATTCCTTCTTTGCCTTCTTCCATTCCTTCTTTGACTTCTTCCATTCCTTCTTCGCCTTCTTCCATTCCTTCTTTGCCTTCTTCCATTCCTTCTTTGCCTTCTTCCATTCTTTCTTTGCCTTCTTCCATTTCTTCTTTGCCTTCTTCCATTCCTTTTTTGCCTTCTTCCATTCTTCTTCACTTTCTTCCATTCTTCTTCGCCTTCTTCCATTCCTTCTTTGCCTTCTTCCATTCCTTCTTCTGCCTTCTTCCATTCCTTCTATGCCTTCTTCCATTCCTTCTTTGCCTTCTTCCATTCCTTCTTTGCCTTCTTCCATTCCTTCTTCGCCTTCTTCCATTCTTCTTTGCCTTCTTTCCATTCTTCTTCGCCTTCTTCCATTCCTTCTTTGCCTTCTTCCATTCCTTCTTCGCCTTCTTTGATCGTTCCCTCTGTGTGTTTCATTTCCTTCCTTTCTGCATTCAAGCCATCAAATGTCTGAATCTTTCATTCTGGAATTGCCGAGTGAGTAATTTGCACTTCGGTTCAGTTCTTCAGCTAGTCTCCCATCTCCCCGCTCCCTACCCCCCATTGTCGTATTTTGCCTCCTTGTGCATAGATAAACCTCTGCAGAGCGGCAATTCAAAGCAAGCGTCTGTACCCTGCCATTCATTCATATCAAGGTTTCTTTCTGATGGTGCCACGTTAAAGAATGTCAGCCCACAAAGAAACTTGATGTTTGGTGATATGCGGCTGTTCGCAGACAAATGCTCCTTCAATGCGCCCAGGCGCACGTGTGCGATAGATTAGCAAAACACCAGTAACTGAAACTGGGAGCGAAAAAGAAACATGAATAAATGAGAGAATGTAGACCTAGGGTAGATGCGATCATCAAGGCATTATTATTATTTTTTTTGTAGCTAAGGTTTTTAAAGATGCAAATAAGAAGGTCGCAAAGGATGGCATCATTTAAAAACATGCATCTAGGGTGCAGCAGCTGCAAAGCGGGCAAATTCAACCCGGAGTGGATCATTAAGTAAGGAAGATACAAAGCCATCCAATCTCACACCGCTTTCATAGAAATCTATAGCACGGAATGCTTTTTAGAATCACATTTTGTGCTTTTCAAGAAAGAGTGACTGGGGCGTGGAAAAAGTGCAGAAAAGAAAGCCACCAAAGTTACAAAATGAGCTTTGATTTCCCCTTCCGATTTTTAAAAGGAAAAAAAAATCAACTAGGGGAAGGAGCAGAATAGAAATTCTGATTTATTGATTTTTTCCCCTCCCTCTTTCATAATATTCGTGCCAGAGAGACAATTGCCAAGCTGCTGTTTTCAGTGATTCTTGCAAATACAGGTGGTTCGTATGTCGTAAGCAGCCGAAGAGATCCGTTAAACTCTTAAGAGCATGAAGATTTTGCCTCTTGAGAGGCTTCTTTTTATATATTTTTTAAATTAAACTGATCAAAGTATCAAATCCAAATGGAAAAAAAAATAGTGAGAATGGGGAAAGAAAGAGGTGTAGGGATAAGGAGGGGGGGAAAACCTCTATTGAGTCTCTTTAGCGCAGTAGAATAAACTAATGATGTCACCACCTCAACTTTTTACTTTTACGCACTTAATATATACTAGCTATTTCAAACAACAAACCTATATAATCAGCAAAACCCAAAGTCAAAGCTGCATTTTTTCCCCCCATCTCAAGCACAAAAGCACAACAGAGCCTTGGTAGCACAGTGGACTAATGCACTGTTATTAACATCTGCTGCTTGCAATTACTGCAAGTTCAAATCCCACCAGGCTCAAGGTTGACTCAGCCTTCCATCCTTTCTAAAGTAGGTTAAATGAGGACCCAGTTTGTGGGGGCAATAAACTGACTTTGTATAAATATACAAAAGGATGAAGGCTATTGCTTAACGCATTGTAAGCCGCCCTGAGTCTCCGGAGAAGGGCGGCATATAAATTAAAGCCAAAAAAAAAAAAAAAGTCCAGGGGCGGTTTTTAAGGAGAAACAAAGTTGGATGTGTTCTTTATTTTGAGTAAAAAAGTTCATTTAGCCATCTTTCCTAGTTCCTTCTTAGAAGCATCTCATCTTCACCATCATCATCATCATCACCATCATCTCCATAATTACCATTGTCATCTCAAGTACAAAATCCAGACGCTCAAGGTTGACTCAGCCTTCCATCCTTCCGAGGTCGGTAAAATGAGGACCCAGATTTTTGGGAGCAAGGGGCTGACTCTGTAAACCGCTTAGAGGTTTATAAGCAGTATATAAGTAAAAAGGTATATAAGTCTAAGAGATATTGCTATTGCTATTTCGGACTCATGCTGAAGCTCATCATCAGGGAACTTCTCTCTCCCCAGAATGTGATTCAGAGTGTGTCTCTGCCACCCAGAGGCCCATAGCAATAGCAATATCCCTTAGACTTATATACCACTTCACGGTGCTCTCTAAGCGGTTTATAGAGTCAGCCCATTGCCCCCAACAATCTGGGTCCTCATTTTATTCACCTTAGAAGGATGGTAGGCTGATATAGATAGATAGATAGATAGATAGATAGATAGATAGATAGATAGATACTAGATGATAAATGATAGATGATAGATGATAGATAGATAGATAGATAGATAGATAGATAGATAGATAGATAGATAGATGATAGATAGATAGAGATAGATAGATGATAGATAGATAGATAGATAGATAGATGATAGATAGATAGATAGATAGATAGATAGATAGATAGATAGATAGAGCATTTAGACTTATATACCGCTTCTAAATGCTTTACAGCCCTCTCTAAGCGGTTTACAGAGTCAACCTCTTGCCCCAACAATCTGGGCCCTCATTTTACCCACCTCGGAAGGACAGAAGGACGAGTCAACCTTGAGCCTGGTGAGATTTGAACTGCCAAACTGCAGGTAGCCGTCAGTCAGCAGAAGTAGCCTGCAGTACCGCACTCTAACCACTGTGCCACCCATGGCAGTGAGATCAGCAGCATCTAAATTTAATAAATAAATAAACTGTCTCTGAACTTGTTCCATCCCTGGAGCATCCACTGCACATCCACTGTGTTCTTTGAAACACTCCTTCAACAGGTGAACGGACTCCTGACTAGGTGGCTTTCCACTTCTTGCCTTTCAGGTGACCCCCTGCAGTGAAGAGGTCTGCATGGGCTCCATCATGATACCTTCTCAGCATGTCCGAAAACCTGAAGAAGTCCGGACAAAGGATCAGCTCCTCCTCCTCGCCAAAGAATTCATTGACCAGTACTACTCCTCCATCAAGAGGTAAGTTGGGGGCCTCTGCAATTCCTGGAGGCAGAGAATTTTGCCCCCCCCAAAAAATGTCATGATTTCTGCAAGGTATTTGACCATGGGCAATCTTGCACCATCTTGTCCCATTCACTACGATCAGGGTGACCGACTTCAGGAGTGGGCTGCTGGGGCTTCACAGGAGTTCGGGAGAACCTCTAGCTAAGATTCTGTGCAGTCGGAGAACCCCCAAATCCCACTCTTGGCTGGCCCCGCCCACCCTGCCCCGCCCCTCCCAGGAGTCTCCACATGGCCTGTTTTGGATGCAGCTAAGAGCAGGGCATGTAAGGAGGCTCGGGGAGGGTGAAAAACCGGCCTCCAAAGGGCTTCCGGAGCCTGGGAATGCCGTTTTCACCATCCTGGAGGCTTGAGGAAAGCCTCTAGAGCCCGGGGAGGGCAAAAATGCCCCCCACTGTGGTGCAGGAGGCCGACTAGACCACGCCCACCATGGCCACGCCCAGCCAGCAACCAGACATAGAACCCCTTGCTTAAATTTTTGAAGCCCATCTCTGGCCGATATAAGGTCCCAAAATATACATGATGTCAGCATTCTGATGCTGCCATAAAAAGGAGGAGACGAGGCTTGACTTTTCACCTACTTATTTTCTCTGTAGATAATATCCCCTAGGAGATGGGATGGAAGGGGGGACATTCCTGTGGGTTGAGGTCAGAAGCTGGGGAGACTGACTTGGAAGATGGCCAATGAGAAGATGAGAATTGGGGAACAGAAAGGGAAGGGTTTGAGGGTCAGAGGGTTAGTATCGGCTACGACGAAGTCGGGGCCAGATCTGTCGTACTCAATAAATGGAATACTTCAGCAAAGATTAATTGTTTGGGAGTGCAATTTATTTGAGATGACATCAAAACCTGACACTTGAGTCACCAGAATGCCAAAGAGAGAGACTCAAGACAAGGCTTGTAAAAAGAAGCAGATTTTATTTATGGCCAAAAACAAAATACTGGGTGGGACTATATCCAGATCATACAGATATAATGCATGTGAGGAGATAGCCACCCCTTGGGGAAGATATGGTGTCCTTTTTATACCCTCAGAGGCATCAGCTTAGTACCCAATTCTGGCATCCTAGTTTAGATTTGTGTATTCCTTCTTGCCCTGCAAAGGAATAGAAGCCTCCCAATTAGCGTTATCTCTTCCTTGAGCATTCCTTGGTTCTCCCAATTGCTCATTTGGCTCCCTGGTTCTGCAAGGAACGAGCTTATACAGATCGAAGTTGTAAGTTAGAGCTGAAGTGTAAATTATCCCTCGGATGATGTCTGCAGTTCCAACTGAGATACGTACCGTGCTCTTAGATGGCACAAGAAAAACAGGAAGAAGATTGATACAGGTTCAGATCAAATGGCAGGAACATACGCTTGACAAATACCAGATACATTATCGAGGCCTACTAACAGAATATGTTTGTTACAGGAGATACAAATATAAAGGCATAATATATGTGATACAAATACAAAGGCATATTTGTGTTACAGATATAAAGGTACAATATATGTGTGTTATACAAATACAAAGGCTATATATGTATTACAGGAACCTAATGGTTACAGAATAACAAGTTTCTACTAATTCTAGTATACCAGTATATCATATTCTAGTATTATTTATTATATCCTTATTACTGTTTCCCTTCACCGACTTGCAAATTAAGGATGGCTCTTTAAAATAAGTGACCAGTAGAGTCTGCCTGGTTAATTATATACGTCTGGCATGAATATTTCTTAAAATATTATCTCTCCTCTGCAGAACACATTTGGGTAAATCGGAGGTCTTCTAATTTAGCGACTTTACGACTTGCGGACTTCAACTCCCAGAATTCCCCCATGCTGGGGGAGGTGAATTCTGGGAGATAAAGCCCACATGACTTAAAGTTAACCAAATTTGGAGATCCTTGGGTTAGAAGAACTTTCTGTAATAAGGAAGAGAAAGGAACGAGGATTTAACGTCCATAAATAACGAGTTGAATGTTATCTGAAAAGCTGGAGATAAAGTGGATCATTATTCTTGATGCTTCGGGCGGATTTCTCATGGTGCTGATTATGATTAATTTGACGAATGTTGCTTTTAGTTCTGCTTGCAACCAACGAGTTGCTCTTACATTAAAAGAGGCAAAAGAATTTGTCGATAAAAGCTTGGAAATGAGCTGAAATATTACGGCATGTCCCTTCGGCGTTCTGAGCCCTTCCTGGTAAGCCATTAGTAAAACAAATTTGTCTGATCTCAAACACTGCATAGAGAAGAAACATCTCTGGACATTCAGAAACTTCTCTCCCTGTGTTAATGAGTGTTTTGAAAGTGGCCAGAGTTAGAAGAAACCAAGAGGCTCACTTAAATATTTCACTTAAATATGAGCCAGCCGTGTGCAGCAGCTGCCAAAAAAAAGCCAACACAGTTCTAGGCTGCATAAACAGAGGAATAGAATCAAGATCACGTGAAGTGTTAATACCACTTTATGATGCCTTGGTAAGGCCACACCTGGAATACTGCATCCAGTTTTGGTCACCACGATGTAAAAACAGATGTTGAGACTCTAGAAAGAGTGCAGAGAGGAGCAACAAAGATGATTAGAGGACTTGAGGACAAAATATGTAAAGAACAGTTGCAGGAACTGGGTATGTCTAGTCTGATGAAAAGTAGGACTAGGGATGACATGATAGCAGCCTTCCAATATCTCAGGGGCTGCCCCAAAGAAGCGGGAGTCAAGCTATTCTCCAAAGCACCTGAGGGCAGGACAAGAAGCAACGGGTGGAAATTAATCAAGGAGAGAAGCAACTTAGAACTAAGGAGAAACTTCCTGACAGTGAGGACAATTAATCAGTGGAACGACTTGCCTCCAGAAGTTGTGAATGCTCCAACACTGGAAGTTTTTAAGAAGATGTTGGACAACCATTTGTCTGAAGTGGTGTAGGGTTTCCTGCCTACAGGGGTTGGACTAGAAGACCTCCAAAACCCCTTCCAACTCTTATTATTCTAGTTTCTGAATCTTTTTGTGCTAATAGTGATTATGATCATTGCCAATTTTGGCACAATGCCTATTCCCTCTTTGGGGAACGAAGGTTTTGCTTGGGGCAGGACTGCCTTGCGCAAGTCAACTGTGCCCACCACGATGGGGCATGAATGATGGCTAACGTCTTTCCTTCTCTTCCCCGACAGGTCTGGCTCGAAAGCTCACATGGACAGGCTGGTGGAAGTCACCAAAGAGATAGAAACTACGGACACTTACCAGTTGCGCGATACGGAGCTCATCTATGGAGCCAAGCACGCATGGCGCAACGCTGCTCGTTGCGTAGGGAGGATCCAGTGGTCCAAGCTGCAGGTGAGGAGCTGATAGCCTTGGGCGTGGCCAGCAGGCCACCTGCCTACATGCTTATATACATTGGCAAGTACAGATTGTTCTTTTTAATATATATTTTATTTATACATTTTTCTTTAGTAAACATAAAAACTCAATATCTACATGAACAGTGTGTTGTCTGGGTACAGTTAGTTTTGAAAAATAATAATGGTAATAATAATATTCATAGGCCATTTGATAATAATAATAATAATAATAATAATAATAATAATAATAATAATAATAATAAT